GCAGCAGCAGCAGCAGCAGCAGCAGCGTACCTTTCTTGCGCTTGCTGAGGCCTCGCAGTCTATGAAGGCGACGTAGGCGTAGCCGACCATGGGGGGAAGGACTTTTGTCTTTCCTTGAATTGCATCCATCACCATTTGTTCAGTCACTTCGCCTTCCTCATCTGCTGCTGCTGCTGCTGCTGCTGCTGCTGCAGTGTCTTCCTTTTTGGGCGCCTTGAGGGCCTCGTCCTTGGCGGCGTCCTGCTGCTGCTGCTGCTGGTTGCTGCTGCTGCTGCTGGCGTCTCCCTCCTCCCTCTTGACTCTGTGCGGCGGCGACTCGGGCTTGGGGTCGCTCGCGGGGTCGCTCGCGCGGTCGCTCACGGGGTCGCTCGCGCCATCGCTCGCGGGATCGCTCACCCCACACTCCTCGTGCAAGTGCCGCGGATCTAAACAAGGATCTTTGCAAATCCGAGGCACCTGGAGGTCCACAACTCTCCCCCCGCACTCTTCGCACTCCAGCCGAATGTCTTCGACAATATCCGAGTACTCTTCGTCGTCTTGCAGCTGCAGCAGCAGCAGCAGCAGCAGCAGCAGCAGCACGTGCACACAAACGGCTTGAAAACGAAAACGCCAAAATTCAACAAGACCGAAATCTCTCGCTACTCCTTCGATATTCATATTTTCAGGTATATATGTTTGCATATATATTAACACTACACATATATAATATGCATTAAAGCTATTTATATATACATATTCAACAAATATATAATACATACATAAAATATATATAATAATAATATGATATATGTAAAACATATACTATATATGATATATATAATATATATACTATATATAATAAATAATATATATAATGTATATATAATATATATGATATATATAATGTATATAAATATTATATATAATGTATATATAATATATATGATATATATAATGTATATAATATATATAATATATATATTATATTATATATGATACAATATATATAATATATATAAAATATATGCACCAAAGGAAATGGGTGGGTTATGGGAAGAGCCAATTGGGTGGGAAGAGCTAATCCAGTGGCGTTTCTGGTTGAAAAAGGCGGGAGTCTTTAAAGGGCCCTAAACCTCTTTTTAGGGTTTAGACAAGGGTTTAGAGGAGGGGGGAGTTGGGGCTTTTACCTCCTGAGGAGTGACAATGTTGTGCAGCACGAGGACCCTCGTGCAGACCTGCGGCCGCAGCAGCGGGGGGGCCTTTTCTGTGCCTGCGACGGAAATTTTGTCTTTCAAAAAAGATGAAACTGCACCTTCATTGATGGCGTTTTCGGCTGTCACCACTCGGTAGGGCGAATTCGTGTGCAGAATCTCCATCGCCTGCTGCTGCGAGTCCGGATCCGTGTACTCGATCACGCACACCAGCTGAAACCAGAGAAAAGCAGAAACAAATCAAAAAATACAACAATTAATGCAAACATTTGCGCATTTCACAGTCATTTTTATTGAAGATCAAACGAAAAGGAGTGAAAGCCGAAGTGAGATGATTGCCTTCGGATGCGGCGTGCTGAGGTGTAGATACACCCCAGAGTGCGCATCCGCAGCTTTCACTTAGCACTGCTGATATCCAACTAAATCGGAGTTTATTTTTATTTTCTGCTGCTGTTTTTTTCCTGTTTTTCCCTTGTCGATTACCTGTGAATCGTCGGTGTCCTTCTTGAGAATGTCAAACGACTTCAGCGGACCGAAAGTTTCAACCAGCTGCCGAATCTGCGGAAGGGGAAAAGCAAAACGAAACCAGAAACAAACTCTTTGCTGCTGTTGTTTGAAATTAAAAGCAAAATAACAAACGCAAGTGAATCCTTCAGGCCGCACTGCTGAGCAAGTGATGCATCTGCGCAGCCGCGAAAAACAAATGCACCACTATGACACAATAAACGCGTACCCACACATGCAGCAGCAGCAGCAGGAGGAGGAAGAGAGCAGAAGGATTCCCTTTTTTTATTTATTTTCAGTTCGCCAGTTCTCACCTTCTCCTCCGGCATTGAGGCCGGGAGCCCCAAGACGCAGAGCTTGTCCGTTTGCGGAGGCCCTGGACGAAAAGGAAGCAGAAGAAGAAGCGGTTCAGTGCGTCCAGGTGCACGCACACGCGCAGCAGGAGCAGCACAGCAGCAGGAGCAGCGCAGCAGCAGCAGGGCAGCAGGAGCAGCGCAGCAGGAGCAGCGCAGCAGGAGCAGCAGGGAGCTCACCGTCGGCGCCGTTGGCGTTCTGGGCGGCCCTGGCGGCGGCCTGGGCGGCCTCGAGGGCGGCCTTGGGGTTGACGGCGACAGCAGCGTCGGCGAGGAGCTGCTGCTGCTGCTGCTGCTGCTGCTGGATCTGCGACACGATGGCGCTGGCGACTGCAGCAGCAGGGTTCAGCAGCGGGATCGTGGGCGCAGGCACGATGTGCTGCAGCTCCAGCGGGTAAGTCTTGGGCCGCCCTATCCGCAAGTTGAACCCCAAGCAACTCAGGCCATTCAGCTGCATTGCATTCGAAGCTTCCTCCATAGTTCTGAACTCCACAAAGGCGTAGTGGCCGTCGCTGCTGCGCCAGGCCTTCACCGCGGGGGGCCCCGGGAGGAGGCCCCCCCCCACGGCGGCCATGGCGGCGTTGAGGAACTCGAGGAGCTGCGGGACTTCGACGTTGGGCGGGAGGTTTCCGATGTAGAGTTCGCGCGCGGCCTTGGTGGCTGCGGGGTCGAGCTGCAGCAGCCCCGCTGCTGCTGCTGCAGTGGCGGGCGCGGCGGCGGCGCCGAGCGAGAGGCCCGGC